CAACCAAAGAAACGAAACCATACTCCATATGGAAAATGAATGCAAGGCAACGGCATTAGGTTCGAATGAAGAACTATTTAAGGCCACTCTGTGTCTTTTCAAGTGATCTAGAGTTTTCCTGTTTGTTGATTGTCACAGTCTCAGCGGAAATGATGAGTGCACAACGAATTGTAAACATTATTCACTCGACTCTCTCATCAAACTGTCATTCCGACTGAATATCGGCATATGTTTGTCATAAAATACACCTCATCGAAGCTACTGAGGGATAACCATTCAGTAAAACAAGGTACTCTTTGATGTATTCTATAAATGCATTAAGGAGTCACGTTGTTCCGCTTCAATCACAAGCTACAAGCACAGAAAGCATTGGAGAAGCGACCACCTAACATATCTACTTAGTGTTGTTCACTTAAATAGGTAGGGTTTTAATATCGGTAACGAGACTTGCTGCTTTAACAATAAGGAAGAAAATTTTTGAAATTTACTGTATTTTTATAATGGTAGAGGAAAAACGATCCGTGTCAGTGAAATTGTTCCTCATTGCAGCGGGATTTCAGATCTAAAATGACCTGAGATAGTCAGATGGATAAAACACTGATGCAGACTGATTCTGGATCATTAATTGGCTTTGATTGTTTCAGGTTATGTGTTGCTGTACACATTTCAACCCTACAATACTTGATATGGCCTATTGGAAAGCTGAACTTTAGTCTGAAAGCAAAAATAGTTGAACTTGTGAGGCAGAGGTGTTAGATAATTGCGGTCATCGATTCGGCGGCGACGTGAGCACCTGTAATTGGTGGTAGTGATTAACGAAGGACTGAAAATTGACCGCGAGGCGAGGCGAGGCGAGGCAATCAAGTTTTCAGTGAAAAAGTGAAGCAAGGAAAGAAGGCGACGATGGCGAGACAGTTTGACTCTTTGTACTCAATTTCAGCGCACTTCTGTTTCTGTGGAGGCGAGAAAGCTCTTCGCCTGTGTCATAAATGCAGAGACGATCAAATGGCAATCAAAAGTCTCATCTGCTGCACCATTCGGCTTGATCACCTAAAAATGTGTAGCCCTTTCGAAGCTTTAAGTCGAACAATGACCAACGACGGCTTTAACTATCATGGTTTCTTACACGACTGATTACATGGAGACGTTTTGCGGAAGAAATCCTTCTCTCATCATAGTGGTTTCAAGCGATAAAGTTTTTTTCTCACATATATAGTCAGGGCGTGGAAGCTGTTTAGCAAACCGTTATGTACTTCTACAAATATTTCTTTTATGTGGTAGTTAATTAGAGCAGCGTTGTTTCTCATTTAAATTTTCACTTTATGAAACGACTTTGGATGAATTGCAATTACAGTATAAAGGTGAAGTGACAGACCAGCCGAGTCCGTTCTAAATAACGTGATCATGGTGTAGCGATAGTTGTTTGAGTGCTCTTAATAAGTTTAGGGCAGTGGAAGGTTTGAACTTGTTTAAAGTTCAGAGGATGAACTTTCTTGATCGCTCAGGTCTCATCTGAAAGTTGTTCACAAGTTCATGGTGATTCATGGTGGTTACGTGCTGAATAAAATGCTGCAGATAGCAGTGCAGCAGCAAGTTTCCAAAGTTCAATAAAGTTCTGAAATGTACAACGTACCATCGATAAATCTTGAACACCACCATGACAAAAGCGCAGCACTAATCCAAAATAAATATAACTTCAGGTTTTTGATTTTGGACCAGTAGTTACATAGAGAGGTGGTTGAACAATTCATTATTCAGAGATTCAAATACAACAGTTGGTAAAATCTTACATTACGTTTGCCAACGTGTTTCGCTACATACACCGCGGGCTACCAGGACTGGGCACAAAATTGCTCCTTAAAGACAATGATATCCAACAACAGAACAATACTTTTGTTTTCCAGTTGGCACATATCATACAAACAAGGAGCTGTTAAGCTGCTTGGCCTGAATGTTACTCAACAAACATACTGTAAATCTTGCATGAAAATGCAATCGGATCTTTACTATGTTGATTCAGTTTTCCTATCAAATTTGTGACTGCACCCAATCTTTCACTAATAACCACAGAAGATGTGCATTCATTGAGAATCTGGTACTTTCTTGCCATTATAGATAGGTACTCTTCTATCAGCAGACCTGATTTACAATGGTTTTGTCTATGACAGACACATTGGTCCGACTGAAAGTGTGCTCTTAGTTGATCGCATGCTGGCAATGTTGGAACTGTTGGCTTGTCTAAGGCGAACTGCAAGTAGGTGACCTTTGATCCGGATGTTAAGAACCCGGTAGGTCTTTTGAACGTGTACCGCAGGCAGTCTCCGCATTGGAATCTGCATGC